GAGAGCGGGTGGGGGGGCACACGTCGTATCGTCGGCTTTGTCGGCCACGTGGGAGCGTGCGGTGGCCACTGCTGGGGGGGGACACAAGGGGGGCACCAGTCATGTGACCTCCTCCCCCCCCCACATGACTCTTCCCGGGCCAATCCTAGTCCAGGGGTGGTGAGTACAGGTGAATACCCGCAGCATGGGCCCAGGGCCGGCCTGACCCATTTGCACGCCCCGGGCCTCAGGAGCGTGCGTGGTCCCACCCCCGGGCACACAGAGCATGCATGGTGCCGCCCCTGCCTGGCCCAGCAGTCCCGCGCGGTGCCCCCTACAATGGGGCACCCAGGGCAATAGCTCGGCTGGCCCGTACCTTGGGCCGGCTCTGCCTGGGCCAGACACCAGGGTGTTTGGATGAACCGTTTGCCAGCGTATTCAGAGGGCACACGGCCCTTCGTAGGGTTCCCAGATGGTTTCAACAAAAATACCAGACACACTTGACATTCCATCCCAGTCTACAGCCCATCTGAGTTAGGAAATCCCGGGCCTTTCTATTGTCTCATTTCTAGTTTCTCAGTGTGTTTCCCGAACAGAAGCTCAGCTACGGGACTGTCCGGTTCAACACCAGACCCCCGGCAACCCTGACCCTTTGTGCTCCCCCCACATGCTGCCCTGGGAGTGGGACGAGGTGTCCAAACCCCACCCCAGGCAAGGAGGGGTTAAGGGATTATTTTGGGCTCAGCCCGCCCCGCCCTGCCGCTCCTGCAGGGAACACTCCAGCTGCAATGGCCAGGTGGGGCTTAGCCCCCTTGTGGCAGCGCTAGGGGGGGGCAGGTCTGATTCTGCCGTCGGTGGAGGTGAAAGTGGGGGTGCCATGGCACGCAGCTCTGGCACGGGCTGGCTGAGCTGGGGCAAAAGCAGGGTGCTGTTGAAAGGGCGGGCGGGGACCCGGGTTGCAATAGGACAGCGCCTGTATGAAATGTGAACTTACTGTCACTGCTGGCCGCCTGTAGCTGCAGTGGTGCAGTGGGAAGCTAAAGGTCTGCCGTCGGTGGAGGTGAAAGTGGGGGTGCCATGGCACGCAGCTCTGGCACGGGCTGGCTGAGCTGGGGCAAAAGCAGGGTGCTGTTGAAAGGGCGGGCGGGGACCCGGGTTGCAATAGGACAGCGCCTGTATGAAATGTGAACTTACTGTCACTGCTGGCCGCCTGTAGCTGCAGTGGTGCAGTGGGAAGCTAAAGGCTCTGACTCCGCAGGGAGACACTGGCTGTTCCCACCCTTGCTTGTAAGCACAGGTTGGACGAACGGCTGCCGGGGTGGAGGGGGTGTTGACGTTTTACATGCTCCTGCCTCAGAACAGGGCCGGAAAGGATCAGCCCAGCAGCATCATTGGAGCCTTTAGCTGCATCTTGGGTGCCAGAGCCCCGGTCCTCAGCGTGGGGCCTGCCAGTCTGTCTGGGGCTGCCTGCCCTGCTGCTCAACCCCGCCCCTGCCTCTGCGGTGTGCAGGGGAGAGGGGATGGGGGTGCTCGGGGGAGTGGGCAGCAGGAGGTGGGGAAGAGGCAGGGCAGGGACATGGAAGGGGGGGGCTGAGTGGGGCTTAAAATGAGAAGCCATTTTGGGGGTCATCAAAGAATTTAAATCCAATTAGAGGTGCCCCGGTTGCTAATATTTAAGAACCAGGGTTCTGTGTTGGTCACCACAGTCGTAATCCCCTAGCTCTTATCTAGACTTTTTGACAGTCTAGCTCAGTCTAGCTCAGCCTTAGACCCATTTTACAGGTGGGAAAAGTGAGGCAAGGGACGTCATTTGTCCCCATCCTCCCGCAGGCCTGGGACCAAAATTGTCCACCTGTGCCCTGGGCCTGGCTGTGCCCCAGGCCAGCATGCTAGCCACTAGGCCACACTGCACAATGCTTGGCAGTGTTATAGTTGTGGTGCTACCCTGCCATTTTGCTGCAGGGCACTTTTGCTGTGGGGGCTGCGTACTGCCTGGGGCGAAAGGGCTGGACTGGGAGGCAGGAGACCCGCTGCTATTTCCAGCGGTGCTGCGTGAAGACGCTCGGCAAGTCACTTCCCCGTGCCTCAGTTTCCCTAGCTGTAAAGTTATCCTGATCTCCCTTAGTCGAGTGCCCTGAGATCGAATGAAGGAGAGAGCTGGGGATTCACATTTGTATGTGTTTTATTTTTTATATATTTTACTATATTAATTTGGGAATGGCCGACAGGGGAGGGGATACATGAGGATTCCCGGTTCTGTTCCCTCCCTCTGGGGCACCAGGCATTGGCTGCTGTCGGCAGACAGGACACTAAGCTCCATGGGCCTTTGCTGACCCGGTAGGTTCTGTGGGGCTGCATTGCCTGGGACCTGGGGGTGCCCTCGGTGTCTGAGATGTCGCAGGGAATTATGTTGCCTGGCCAGACATGCAGCGTGGACTTGATTCCCGGCCACTGTCTCAGCTGCCTCGCCTTGCACGTGTGGTGAATTCGGGGCGTGCCGAGCTACGTCGCACGGGGCCCCGTGCCCTGCTGCGTGTGCGGCCGCACTGCGCTGCATTGGAGCTGCCAAGGTGGCCTGGCAGGGGTGGTGGGGGGGGGGGCATTAGCAGAGGCTCAGGATGAGGCAGGGGGTGTGTGTGTGTGGGGGGGTTATATTTGGGGCATCTCCAGCCTGTGCTATCCAGGGGTTCAGGCTAAGGGCCCTTCTGGCCGGGGGGAGGGTCTGTGGCACTTGTGCCGTTGCTCCGGAGGGGAGCGGCCTGCAAGACGGAGCCCCCCCTCTCCCGACGGGGCTGCATGCCAGTGCCAGGCCACATCTGAGAATCAGGAAAAGCCGCTTCCCGAGGGGCGTGAGCAGCTGGGTCTCACCGTGGCCTCCCCCACCTGTCCACAGCGCTGTTGGGAATAAGGGGTGGGGGGGGCTGGGAGGAGGCGGAAGCAGGAG